TATCATTTATATTTTTTATATTGTTTGTTTTTAATATAGTATCAAGCTATTGTTTTTCTACAAGGTTGTACTTCATAAACTAAGTCCCATAAGGATAGGGACTGAGGCTGTTTATAGTTATGAGAAAAACTCATGTTATTTGTAAGTGCTTGAAGACAGGTTTCTAGAATTGGAAGACCCGCATATTAAGCTTCAAGCTACAGATGTACTATATCATCCATTGTATTGATATTTCACATATTATTGGTGTTGTTTATAATATACACTGCATAGATGTTCATTTTGGTCATATGCATCCCTGGCTCCTGTATCCTTGAAGAAATCTTAGGGAGTCTGGCCACACCCCTAAACACACACGGTTACAATTAATAAAGTATCATCATCATCAAAACAATAATTTTATGTACTGTATATCATTTCCCATTTCTACACAGGTGCATTTTCAATAATGTGTACGATATACGACTAGAGCGAATTTCAGTGCCAAACTACTCCAGTACAGTGGCCTCCCCTCTCCGCACCCCTCACGGTAACTACCACTCACATGAACATTCCCCTACTCACAACGATCGTGGACATCCAAATATTTTGAATGGCCTAGACCGGTATATCACTCCATCTGTGGCTGCTGGTAGGATAAGCCAAGATTCAGAGGGAGGAGTGTCAGAGTCCAATACACCACAGTTCCAAGCTGTTGCTGTTGTGTCCAAGGAGGGAGAGGTGCTACCATTACAAAATGAAGTAAGTTTTTTTTTTCAATAAAAAACATTGATGTTATATACATATTTGGATGGTACAGTACAGTAAGTACTGTGATGAGCTAAAAATACAACTTGATATCTAAAGCCAGATTATCAAATTGTATTTGACAAAAAACTGCTGTATGCCCATATATGGTCATGAAGTGGTTATATATGGCCATGATGTGATGTCATCATGACCATATTTAAGCATGTCACGAGTGTTTGTCTGGGGCAAGGCTTTAATTGCTTGCTTTGTCTATTTGAGTAAGTTTAGCTTAAACAACTGCAACTTGGTGTGCATACGGAGGTTGCTTAAATCACACATGTAGTAAATATTTACATAATGTGCTTGGTGACCATCTAAACATAATAGTTACATAATTAAATATTTCTTAGGTTACCCTTACGGAGGGGGTGGAGGTTTGGTTGAAGGAACTGAAGGACTGTATTGGAGACACCATCTACTCATTGGTGTGCAATGTAATAGAAGACGTGGAGGCTGGGATTGCTGTTGAGGACCTAGCTCTCAAGGTATCACAATCTTATCATGATTTTTGGATTAAAGGAGCAATCCAAATTGTAAACATGGCACTCCCAAATATTAATGTTTTATGCTTTTTCTATAATATATATATATATATTGATTCAACCAGCTGGTATCTCATTAATAGACAGCATATTAAGATTACATTTGGTTTGAGTAATTTCCATTATATTTTTTATTATGTACAGTACCATCATTTTATATGATGTACAGTATTTAGGAAAAAACAAAGAAAAAACCTATTGATTAGGAATTGCATTTACATAATTGTCATTTTTAAAAATCTTTCCTTTTCCAGTATCCCGGTCAAGTAGCCCGTCTTGGTATGCTCATGTACTGGACAAAGGAATGCGAGATTGGCATAGCAGAGATTCGCAATGATCGCAAAGCCATCCCCAATGCTTGCAAGAAGTTTATTACCAACACATCAAGACTTTCAGCTGTATTATCACGCGGAATGTGGAAGAATACTGATGAACAAATGACCTTTGTTCATCGACAGCGATTGGAGAGTTTAATTGCTGTAAGTTGCATCAATATCTCATGGTATACATTTGACATTTTTAGTTTATTTGGAAATGTCATCTTACACCATAAAGTATTTTCGATCAGTCTTGGCAATTTTTATTTTTTTTTAATTAAACACAACATTAGTCTCATTCCTTCTTTGTTTTTCATTTTTTATAGCAATCGCATTACCTACGAGATACACTAGAACACATGGCCAATAGAAAATTGAGGGAATTAGGAGACTTTGAATGGCGAAGGTGTATCAGATTCTACCATGCATTCACAGGTATGGTGTGGGTTTAGAGTGGATGATGATCATTATAATGATATTACAACAATGTTGAGTGAGGATCATGATGTTGAGATATTTATGATGATGACTGGTAATGAATGATGACAATGATTATTATGATGATGATGGTGGTGATAATTTTGATGATAGAAATGATGATAAAATTGATGATGGTGATGATTGTAGGATGATAGAGATTAGTTGTGATGGTGATACTAAAAGTTATAATTTTTGTCATTGAAAATTATATAAGAGAATAAATTATCAACAAATATCACTCACAATAAGATTTACCTTTTTTTTAAGTTTTTCTTTTTGTTTCAGAATCAAGTTTTTGTTTATTGGGATGAAAATATTTTTTAGAATAAAAGCATAATAACAGTTCATTCATTTTCTTTATTGTAGAAGGAAAGGTTGTGCCATATATCTCCATCCTAGAGAAAAAATACACATATGGTAGTGAGTTCTATGGAGCCCGGTCCTCGCTTGTTTTAACCCCGACCACTGAGAGGTGTTTCATCACAATGTCAATGGTAAGTACTTTTTATTCAACAAATACATTAAATGGAAGAAGCTGAATGTATTTTTAATTCTTACATAAACTAATGCTGTATTTATTTCAGTGCATGAAAAATCAGAAAGGCTGTATGTTGGTGGGAGGTACTGGCATCGGCAAGACTGAAACTACCAAAGGCTTAGCATCCACACTCGGTCGCTTCCTAGCCATGTTCGCCTGCTCTCCTCACAGTGATCCACAGAGCTTAGGAAAGATAATGCAAGGCCTAGCTTTGGTATGACATTATTACAATTATATGGTGCATTAGACATCTTTGTCTCTGTCCTGTTAAAACAGAGCCAGTGTTTATATCTCTCATTTTTGTTACCATTATGAAATATTTGCTAGATAATCTTACAGAGTGCATTACAATTGATTCTACTAAAATATGTCACTCCTTTTGCTTATAATCAACTTTTTCTATATCACACATATTGTATCTCTTTTCATATCACAATATCATGATGCATCTCTATTATAGTTCTTTCTCTTACATAATTCACTCTCAACACCACACATAAGAAATGGAAACTTAAGATAATCACATCCTATATTTTGTTGTTTAAAAATTGTCTAGGATGGTAGTTGGGCATGTCTTGATGAGTTTCAGCTTCTTCAGCCACATGCTGTTGCCATGGTGATGGACCACTGCCAAGGTATCATATTTGCATTAAGGTCTGGTGTGAACAAATGTATTGTTTCCAATGGAGAAGAGGTGAGTGGTTTTAACAGAGTGAACCATGCCATGTCTCTTATTCCTTAAACTAGCTCTCTCAGATGACATTTTAATTCATTATGGGCTTATTGTGTTCATCAAATATCGGTCAAGATGTCAGCAACCTGAAATTTCCATGATTGGCTATGATTTAGCATGTAAACGTAAAGGTAGGAGAATAACACATATCTACAGCGTCCTTAAAGTAGCTCTCTCAGATGCATTATAATTCATTGTGGGCTATTATGTTCATCAAATATCAGTCCAAAATGTCAACATCCTGAAACTAGCTATGTTTATGGTCTATTTTGTGAATACTTAGTTGGATAAACCTGCTTTTGCCATTAAAACAAATTATAACACCCCTAAAAAATAGTAGAACTTTCCATCTCAGGGTATTAAATGAACACAGTAACCACCATGTGTGCATCCTTATTCTTCGTCATTACTGGTTTGAGTAAATATTCTCAATTGTTACTTTACAGATTGTTGTCAACAGAGACACTGCTTTGTTTATGACTGTCAACAACACCCATGCACACAGCAACCCAATTGGCAGTGATGTGAAGACCTTGTTTCGTAGCATCTCACTTACTGTGCCAGACCTAGCCATGATACTCAAGGCTAAGTGTGCTGGCTATGGCTTTAAAGCACCTAAGATTCTAGCTGATAGGCTAAAGATTGTTATACAGCAGTGCAAGGAACAACTGTAAGTTACTATTACTACTACTGTACTACTAAATTAGGAGTTGGAATTAGTTATTATTAGTAGTAAATATATTATTAGTACAATATTGATAATAGAAAAACTATAATTCATTGTTATTCTTAATCTTTCTTTCTCTCCATTAGTTTCTATTCAAAAATTATATTAAATTTCTTTTTTTATTTTTTTTCAATTGTGAACAATAACAAACATTTCATCATATCACAAAATTTCTTCAATATCAAAGATTGTATTTTTTTTACAACCAGACTATATAAGATGTAATGCTACAAGCATATCAGTTGTTTACAAGAAATTCTAGGTTTACATGAATTACAAAGCCTACTTTCCACTTCCACCCAAGCTTCGCACACACACATTGCCTGCACACATGCTGTATTAGTAAACAACGAAATGGTGACATAAGATTAAGTTAGTTCACTTGTAGTAGTAATTTTGAATTCATTGACATGTGCAACCCATTTTTTTTTCAGTTTAAATCTTCCGTTCTTCATAGTACTCTACTTATGTACCATTTCATAGTTTCCTTATTTTGGATTTAATCCATTAAACAGGTAAAACTGTCCCTGGAGTGATAGTTTCTAGCAGCTAACTGCAAAGGGTTAATAGTCTGTGGCAGCCTTGTAGTTTCAATTCTATAATATAGTGATAGAAGCCACGGGACATTCAAGAACTTATGCCAAAATATTTCAGTGAGGTTTCCTAGGCAAATATCCACAGTGGTTTATCAGTGTTGTTTGAGGTTCTAATTAGAGGTGAAAGCCCACAAGACTTAATAGTAACAAGGAGTTATGCCAATAATATAATTGTTTTGTGTTCAGTATTTTCCCTCCCTGGTGCAAAAGTTTCCACATAAGCCAAGCATGTGATACACAAGTAACCACTTATTTCAATGTTTTATCAGTGTGAATTTTCAACCACTGACCATGTTTGATCTGTTTCTTTTGTTTCTCTGTGCATGCTTACACCTGTAGCCCACCTGAGGAGCAACACTATGTAAATTTGAGTTCTACAGGTGCATCTTTATTACATGCCGTGAAAACTTGGCATATGATAGAAGGGTAATGCTGATCAAACAACACAGAATTTCATTGCAGTGAAAACAGTTAACTCTAACATTACACATGTAGTTGGGAGAAAGAGAGAAATATAGTTGGCTCAAGATCACAAAAATAGACATCATTGATTGCAGTGATTACAGGTCACCCTAACATTGTACTAATTTTAAGTAAAATATAATTATGGACCAATAATTTCTCTATTGTATTGTGGATTAAATGCTGCAAATTTCCATTGTAGAACACCATAATTGATCATTAAATTCACAGTATGTTATTGTATTTGGTTCGAGGCTGATATTTACTATAGTAAATGAGAGCCTCACACCAAAGTATATAAATACTATTGTAATTATTACTACACATATTTGGTTTTAGCAGTTTCCTGAATGTCATAGTGGGCAATCTTAATCTACTAACACAATGCACAGTTATCTTATATCTCTGCTCTAACAGCTTGATGTGGCCTCCATTTATTGTTCTTACATCCAATAGGGCCTACTCTTCAGAAATTCTTTTCCTATACTAGTACTATATTTAATATAGTTTATATATGTATAAGTCTTTATATTTGTTTTCCACATTCAAGGATTATCATTTTTTATTACTAAATCTAGTTGTCGTTTCATCACCTGTGAGAATGGCTAGTATCATTGTTGCAGTGTGAAAATTTCTTTTTCCAAGAAAAATGATAACTTGCTGAGATTTTTTTCACAAGCCAACTGAGTACAATCATTCAAATATTCATTATTAATGCAGTACTTGTTTTACTTTTTACAGCAGTAAAAACGATCATGTAAAATCATTTGTAGCTGTTGTTTGTTGTTTCTAATAATATTAACAGTTTGTATTGTAATAACTAGTCTGTGGTAATATTGTAATACATAAATCATAATCAATTTATGAATTACTGTATGTAATTTATTTGATAATTGCTAGATATGTGACCTGCTGAGGCAAACTCTCCGTTTGTTGCAATTCATGATTTCCCACAAGCACCCAGAATGTTTGAGAATCAAAATTTTGAACATTTTCAGGTTTTTGCATTTTATAAAAGAAGATATATTGAACAACATTTCTGCAAAATATGAGTCACTTGATCTAAATAAAAAGTATATTAACATTATTTTTAAAATACAAATCCTAATAATAAACTATTGATTTTGGAATCTTTAGAAGCTCTTTTCTCAAATTCTACATGGCTGATATCCAGTGAATAAAATATTCATAACTTTGCTAATACTCAACCAATTCCATCAAATATACACTGTTTTAAAGAAGACTTCATGCAGAATCTATATACACTAAAAATGTTATTTTCAATTTTTCCTGCAAAAGGCTGGTTGTGCCAGAGCCAGTCACATATTACATCATTCCATATTCATATCAAAATTCATTTGTATTATTATACTGTAAGTTATCAAATTCAGTCAATGTACTGGAGTTTCTCAGGTGTAAGCCCACTCCTTGAATACAAAATCATACCACTTGAGGACAATACACTGCAAATGATAGTAAGAATCCTGTAGGCATAGATAACTAGATAGTTTAATTTCATTTCAATTTATTCAGTGATTCAACAATTTCACATCAACAACAAATCACCAATGATAACACAAAAGAGCTCAGAAGTGCTTATTTCCACTGTGGTCCTTAACTGAGACAATGACAGATAACACAAAAAACAAGAATAAGTAAAGACAAAAATAAATATGAATTTCTAATAATAAGGCTACATAAATATGTTTTTTTTGTTTTTTTTCACGCATAACGAAATATATAACTTTTATTAATCACGAATATTTGGATTATACAATCCACAACAAATTACAAATTGCAAATTGTTTACATAGGCATCAAAAGAAGCGGTGGCTTGTCAGTTTGAATATCAAACATACAAAACATACACACACAGAATACATATCTCTGTCTTGTTCATCTAACATAGAACTTAGGCCTCACAAGCCTACAATTTTAGGCCTCACAAGCCTACAATTTTAGGCCTCACCAGCCTACAATTTTAGGCCTCACAAGCCTACAATTTTAGGCCTCACAAGCCTACAATTTTAGGCCTCACAAGCCTACAATTTTAGGCCTCACAAGCCTATAATTTTCATTACAAATGTCAGAAGTTTAGGGAGTGTGCTTGTACTGGGATGAACATAAATCAGCATGAAAATTAGTCAAGAAATGAGCTTATGCTCATTTATATCATTTATTCGCCTAGTTTATAATAGTTAGGAATTCAATATAATTTGGATAATTTATATGTAAACACCTGCTTAATCCAGGTGTTAATGAAGTTAGGTTGTTTGTATTATTATAGGTCCAAAGAGTACCAGCAGTTGTTTGCGTTGGGCTCCATATCTTCTGTGGTCCAGTTTGCATCTGCAGGACGGAAGCTGACTAAAGAGGAACGTGCTGAACTGTCGAGGGCAAGTAGCCAGATATCACTGGCCCAGACGCAGAGTCTAATGCGTAAGTCAAATGTCTTCGGTTAGGTTCACACTAGAGCCTTAATATCCAGATTGGGAGCTAAATGTTGCCATGCGCATGTGAAAATGCCCGATTGTTTAGAGGTAACAGTTCCCAAGAAGTGGATACGCTAATGGTAGCAAGCGCTATCCATTAGCAAGTTGACCTCATTTCTATCATTAACCAATCAGATGTACGCATTTCCAATTTGCTAATGACCAATGATCTACCGTCATCTTAATATCTGGATTGGAGATTTTCTGTATGAACGCAACTGTGAGCGCGTATGTTATTAACCTGGATCCTGCTAACTGTGTGTGTGTGTGGGAACATAACCATATTAACTGTTTTAATGATGACCTATTTTCATTAATTTAATAGTCTTATTTAGGAGTAGATAGATTTTATTAGATCAATTTTAAAATGGCATTGATATGATTAATTTTATATATTTTTAAATTTTTTCTCTTTCTTATGTTATGATATTTCCAATGATTATTATATCTTTAACATGCTTATTTTCTTACCTACCTCTTTAAGCACCACTTGGGGATAAGCAAGGTAAGGGCTCATAATACTCTATGGCAGAAATGTAATCATTGCTGTGTGCCCAGCTGTGTATCATCATTGCTTCAGTAATCATTAACCCTTTAACATCTCTAAATTTATCATCATTATAATATTGATTTATATTTCTGGTTTTTTTTCTTGTGTAATAAATCAGCGTCGAACGTTACAATCAAGAGCCAGAAAGACAGCTTAACTATGAGTCTAGGCCCACGTAAGCAGGGCATGCCGAACCCAATGACAGCAGCCGCACGTACAGAGCATGCCGTAGTGGCGCAGGCATTGCAACACATCATAGCTCCCAGGCTCAAGGCTGATGTAAGAAGCAAACTTTCACATTTTGTTGTAGAAAACAGTGTCCTGTGTTTTTTAGCTTCAATGAGGAGCTCTAGTACCCTGCTGATTGATTAATTAATAGATCTTTTTAGTATGGGCTGCCGTTAGGGCCGCTCGAATCACTCGGCTGATTGATTAATAGATCTTTTTAGTATGGGCTGCCGTTAGGGCCGCTCGAATCACTCGGCTGATTTATTAATAGATCTTTTTAGTATGGGCTGCCGTTAGGGCTGCTCGAATCACTCGGCTGATTGATTAATAGATCTTTTTTGTATTGGCTGCCGTTAGGGCTGCTGGAATCACTCGGCTGATTGATTAATAGATCTTTTTTGTATGGGCTGCCGTTAGGGCTGCAGGAATCACTCGGCTGATTAATTAATAAATCTTTTTTGTATGGGCTGCCGTTAGGGCCGCTCGAATCACTCGGCTGATGGCTGCCGTTAGGGCTGCTCGAATCACTCGGCTGATTGATTAATAAATCTTTTTTGTATGGGCTGCCGTTAGGGCTGCAGGAATCACTCGGCTGATTGATTAATAGATCTTTTTTGTATGGGCTGCCGTTAGGGCCGCTCGAATCACTCGGCTGATTGATTAATAGATCTTTTTTGTATGGGCTGCTGGAATCACTCGGCTGATTGATTAATAGATCTTTTTTGTATGGGCTGCCGTTAGGGCTGCAGGAATCACTCGGCTGATTGATTAATAGATCTTTTTTGTATGGGCTGCCGTTAGGGCTGCTGGAATCACTCGGCTGATTGATTAATAGATCTTCTTTGTATGGGCTGCCGTTAGGGCTGCTGGAATCACTCGGCTGATTGATTAATAGATCTTCTTTGTATGGGCTGCCGTTAGGGCCGCTCGAATCACTCGGCTGATTGATTAATAGATCTTTTTTGTATGGGCGGCTGTTAGGGCCCCTATATTATCATCAGAGCCTCTAGGTTATGAAAACTTGTTATAGAAGACAGAAGTACTTTAGGAATACTTCTCTGAACAAACCTAGCATTGCCATGTTTAGGGCACCCTTAGAAATATTAGAACTGTCCATCTCAGGGCATCATATATAAAAGCCAGCCAGTTATTCTTGGAGTTCTTTGAATAGATTTGAATTCAGATTTGTTCTGTGTTTAGGCCTGTTATATATTCAACAACGTGATCAAGGATGTTTTTAGTGGTACTGGTGAAGCTCCGTTGCCACAGTCAAGCCGTGCGCATCGGTCACGCCTCAGTGCAGAGCATGCAATCATAGCAAAAGCTCAAGAGAACGGACTGGTGGCTCATGCGTCGTGGATCAACAAGATTATGCAGCTGTACTCAGTCTCACAAGTCAATCATGGTTTGTTTAATTGAAAAATATGTAAATGTTATATACTGTATGTTCAAATATATAAATTAAAATATATTGTTAATTATTTACTCTAATCTTGTTTTTAAATATATAAATTAAAATATATTATAATTTATTAATCCTTTTCTCTAATCTTATTTTAAAACCAATTCTTCAATACAGTTAAACCCCTGTAAGGGGACCCATTCAGGACTGAAAATAGTGTCCCCATAATAGGGGTGTTCCCTAATTAATAGGGGTTGGCCATAGTGTTAAAAGGTACATTTCCCTCACTTCACAGCCAAAAAAGTGTCCCCTTAATAGGAGTGTCCCAAGGAGACGTTTTTCAGTAATTCCATATTTTCTTTCCATTGTTCTTCCAGCTATCATTGTGGCAGGTGAACCAGGGACAGGTAAATCTACCTGTATCCAGACATTAATTGATGGCCTCTCTGCCATTTCATCCAACAACCAATCACGGCAGTCGAGGAGCAGCTCATCCACGATCTCTTCAGTCAGTCACAAACTGCAACGCATCAACCCACTTGTTGTTGATGATCTGGCTCTGATGTTTGGCTACCTGAATCAAAATCGTGACTGGATCGATGGTATATTTACCAGTGCTTGGCGAAAAGCAAACAGAGTAGGTTAAATGCTGAAGGATATAATGTGTTAGAATATTGATTGGCTTGTCAAATGAAAATAATATTAAATAAATAAGAATCCAAGTCTAGAAAGACATTCAATTGTCTTGGGATTCAATATGTTGAATCTGTTTTGATTTATCATCAGGAGTTCACAATGGATTATAAGAGAAACAAATGTAACTGTAATTGAAAATTGAATGTGTAATTTTCTCTCTCCATTAGAATGTTAGCACAACGTGGCTATGTTTAGATGGGCCTTTGACTCCAAGCTGGGCCGATAATTTCAACAGCGTTTTAGATGGTGATAAAGTTTTGCATCTTAGAAACGGTGACAAACTCTTCCTTGCAGACAACATCAAACTGCTTTTTGAAACCACAGACCTCAACACTGTTTCTCCAGCAACTGTTGCAAGATCTGTAAGTATTTAATTAAGTAAGAATAGATTTAGAAAAAAGTATGAAAGTGCTTGCAGTGTGGTTGTCCACTAACTGGGAAATATTCTTATACATTCACTGCAAAGTGTAATAATTTAAAAATTGATTGTTGTGTAGAATATAAGTAAGTAGACCTCAAAACTGACTTCTGAATGATTTCATGTTGTTCATCTGTTACAGGGCATAGTGTACTTTGACAAGGATATCCTAGGCTGGCGTCCAATTGCTCAGGCATGGATGGAAGGACGAAACCAACAGGAGATTCATGTAAGTACAACAGCATTTTTTGCAACGTTTTCTTTAGTTTCATTTCATGATTATTCAATGACTTGGGCACCTTGACTATGAGTCACGCAAGATCATCTCTGATATGATGTCGAATATATGAAAAATGTATGTAGGCTGCCAGCATCTTGACTTCTGACGATTAGTGCTAACAAATTTTCACAAAAATGTGATGCAATAATGACAAAATGATTATTATTGTATATTTTTGGTAAAATATTTCAGCCGCTCCAAGTAAATAAATCATTTTGATACATAATTAAATATTTTAACTGGACTCTAGAACTAGGGCTGTGTATACATTGTGTCTGTATTAACATATTTCAATCTTTGTCAATCTAAAGTTGAAGGTATCCCAGACGCTTTTATGTTCACTTGGATAGGCTATATCTTCATAAGACTTCTATGAATGGATACCTTGTTTGAAGAATGAAACCAAGTTGTCTTTACTCTATACCGCTCGTCTATTTTATTCGTGTGGGAAACATTTAACATATGTTTAACAACATGGAAAAAATGAAATCAGTGAAACATACTCACATAAAAACATACTGAATAAACATACTCACATAATCATGTTGTTTTGTCTCTGCAGTGCCTACAGAAAGCCTTCAACAAGACCATGGATGCTGTTGTTAACTTTGTCATCTATGAAACTAAGTAAGATAATGAAACTAAATTGAAAGCTTATCATTTTACATAGTATTATAAGATCAGCATTGGCAGGATTTTGAACCAAGAGATAGTTAATTACATCACTACTGCCTTGTCTTTAGTAATATAACTATTGAAAAATTGTTTGTTTGCCCTTTAATGCTGAAAATTGTATAGGAGGGTGAAGGCGCAAAAAGGGTTTTTTTTGTAGTTTTTTTTTTCTCCTGTCACCAAAATTAACATATTAAATTGCAATGCTTGCAATTAAGCCTATCTCACTATTTATTTTAAGGGTATTCATCAGATTGAATAAAAATAACTCATAATCAATATTTTGTATTTGAATTTAGGCCTAGAATGGCGATACCTTACATCAAACACTAGATTTAGACAATTTTCATGCGCAAAATGGAGAAAAAGAAAAATCACTTTCTTAAATTTGTGAATACAATTGAAAAAAACCTCTTTTTTAAAACGCCGCCCCTATATTTCTGTGAGATAGGGGCTGGCACTGGCGGGCAAACAAACAAATTTTTTTAGTCCTAATAACCAACAATAAAGCATTCACTGACTTTGTTATTACTTGGATTAACTGTTTATTGCCTATGAAATGGCCTTTTTGTCTCATTTAATTAGCTTGCTTTCCAAGGAGGTATACCTCCTTGGTCTATCCACCCAGTTTATGTTTAGCTTCAAATTCACCAGAAGAAGTGTGCACACAAACTAGTATATTGTCAATAAAACTGTATGCCCAGTGTTTTATTTACTATTATATCAGACTAGTATGGCTCATCTGTTTTGACTCAACAATAAAGCGTACTTGAATGTTTTATGATTTTGTATCCTTAGGCCCAGGATGTATGTGTGTGAGGTTGGAATGTTCCAGATGTGTCTGGGGTTACTAACTGCCATGCTGAATGAGATCAACGTGTCCATTGGTGGAGAACTGCACATTGAGAGGCTGTTCCTCTTCTGCCTTATATGGTCATTTGGTAGTCTCCTAGAAGGCAATGACCGCAAGAACTTCAGTGATTTGTTGAGGACTTTGACATCAGCGTATGTACAATTTAACAAAGTACTTTCTTTTATGAACTGATGAATAATGTTGATAGTGATACGTGAAGGTTATGATTATCGTAATACTGTAATTATCATAGTTAATTATAATACAAGGATAACAATGATGATAACAATGACAAGGGCAGCGATGGTGGCTTAGCTGGTGTAGAAATCATCCTTTTTTTAGCATATTTTGATTGGCTGTTTGTCAGACTTTTTGTATAGGTGTAGAAATAATAATAATAATATAAAATGCCATATACTTTTTTTAATAGTCTGCCAGATTATGATCATGAGATCTCAGTGTTTGATTACTATGTGGATGAGGCTGGAGAATGGGACCCCTGGATATCCAGAGTACCTGAGGTGGCTTACACCGACAATCAAGATTTACTCGGTGAATTTGTCATAGACACAGTTGATACAGTAAGCCTTTTTTGGTTTTGTTCTTTTTGATATCAATATGATACACTACACTTTCGAATTTTATATTTATTACTAGCATCTCTTCAACTGGAGATTGTTTTATCTTGTGTCAAACCAGTATTAGCTTACAAGAGGAAGACAAATCCTTTTTACAGTGTTTACACTGATCAGCGCTTTCATCATATTTTGATAGTTGACATTTTTTTCCCAAATGTTTACCTTGAATTACTTTGGAATTTGCATGCCTTATTTGGAATTTGTATGCCTTATTTTTCACTTTATTCCCAGATCCAAGCTCGTGTGATCCTGGAATTTGCCAATCTGTCTAATCTGCACATGATCCTTGTTGGTCCTCCAGGATCGGGAAAGACTTCCATGATCAACGACTTCATTGACTCCCTTGGTAAGTTTTGACATTAACTCTGATTCAAAATCATCTACATGCTTTTTCAATAGTAATTGGACATTAAAATAATTCTCTACTCTACAATTCCTATAACCTAACCATAAAATTCTGATAATAATTTTAATATATTGAGAAGTGAAAGTAATTCACATCAGACAAACCATATTCTACTGTGATGAAAGCTCTAGCATGTGGAACTACTGTAGTTGTCCAACATCCTTTCATTGTTTTCTCTACAGACCCTCCACAGCAAGTCAGTAAGCATTTAGTGTTTTCTGGAGCCTCTAGTGCCAGTCAACTTCAACAGTTTGTAGAAAACAACATCAGACATAGACAAGGTATAATAATAAAGTTATTTCATTTTTCCATATTTAATTATTATTCTCAGAATAACAACATTTTAAAGATAAATAAACATGTCTTCTTAATAATAAATACCACAAACTTATGTACTGTAGGTTTTTTTTGTTAAAATTGCCAAACAACTTCAATAACAATGATAATCATCAACTTTGCATAACTAATTAGGATTTGTCTATGGAGCCAAGGACAACAAACGACTGCAGATCTTCATAGATGACATCAGCCTGCCGACACCTGATGAGTTTGGCGTACAACGATGCAATGAGTTGTTACGGCAACTGATGGATGACAAGATTCTGGTGACGCTTCATAAACCATTTGAATGGCGTACCATCGAGGGACTGCATGTCCTTGCCTCAATGACAACCAATGAGTTCCCTAGTGTCAACAACAGGTTGATTTCATCAAGACTTCTGGTGGGTTCTGATTTTTGACTTGACTAATATAACTTTATCATTGTTAAATTTGACATAGAGAATCAGAAGTGTAGCTGAGGTAATATTTTAATTAGGGAAATAACATGGTGGTTTTTAGGGGTGTAAGAATTTTTAGGGGTGTAAGAGTTTTTAGGGGTGCTTACTTCTGGTCCTGAAACTAGGTGTACTTGTTGCGAGATTATTCGAAGTCCTGTTAGTAGTTTTATATTGCTTTGTTTAGACTTTTTAATTTGTGTATAATGTTGGTTTAAGTTAATTACTTTTAAGTAAGATTGCAATTTTAAATCAAATCAAAACCAATAAAAAAAATAAAGTATATTATTTTCTCGTCAAATCTTCAGCGTCATTTTGCTATCTTCTACTTGCCTGAGCCTAAGGACTCCTCTCTGCATACCATTGTCGATGCTGTCCTTGATGGTAACATGACCAAGAACAACCAGCAGTCTCTGGCACAAGAGCTCCATGACTGCATCGTTGATGCTTCTTGCCAACTGCTGACTAGTGTCCAGAATGTTCTCAGACCGTCACCAATGCCAGGGCGGCATCACTATATATTCACTCTACGAGACATCACTAAGGCATTCCAGGTATTTACTGTAATTTTGACTCATTTTGCAATATTCTGAACATCACTAATGTTTTTCTAATTGAAAGCAGTGGAGCTGAAGCATGAAGTTCCATAATATCAAGTTTCTTCTTTTTGTTGCTTGTTTTAAGGGACTAATGAGACTCTCGGAGGAGTCTCGAGAGGAAGCCAGTATGGTAATATCCCTGTGGAAGTATGAAGTTACCAGGATTATTGCAGATCGGATATGCCGCACTGCTGACTTCCAGTGGTTGGAAAAAAACATGGAAAACATTATTAAAGAGGTAGGATAAGATTGGGCATATTCCAAATGGAAGAATGCAGTCTAAATTGTTGGTATGAAAAGAATGATACAAGAAATTCATTTATAATCTATTTGTGTTTTTTTTTTAGCATTTTCCAATGACACAAGAAGAAGGGTTTGAGCTCTATGACCATTTTGTGACATTTCCCATTGAGTCCAGGACATACCAACGACCTGTGACCTCCATGTCACAGAAAACTGTTAGGGTAAGAACATACAGTACCAGAATGTGACACATACATTAAATATAATAGTAATGATATACAGCTGTGAGCATATAGACAATTATGAAAGCTTCTTTTACACTATTCTATACTAAAATATTTTTCATTTTGTATACCTCCATTTCAGGTGCTTCTTCAACCTGTGACAAACTTGGTTGAGGTGCATCGTTGTCTCTTGTCGCATCTGACACGGTACAATGAGGAATTCGGTAACATTCAGCTCAACATAATGTTATCGGATCATGTGATACATCATGTGATCAGAATGCATCGTATTCTTAGTTTCCACCATGGGTAAGTGATGATGTCATCACTATTCTTTTATAATTTGTTTACAGTTTGCTTTATATTATTTATTTATTTAAATTTATTTACCCAGGGTAGCCCAAACAGTTTAAACACGGATTTCCATTGGGGCCCTGCATTTAAAGCATATTGGCAGTCACATTGAAAGTTTTTCAGGGCACAACTTGTTTGGCTAACTTTGAACTTTGAGTAACTAAACCAAAAGGAAGGTTTACCATTGTAATTGTTCATAGAGCCACATGGATGGTATATCTTTAAATTTTACCCTGAGAGTTTTCTTTTTAGGTACAACATTTGACTAATTGAATTTACCTTGTATTTTGTATGACATAATTAGTTATTGCTGAAATAATTATTGTTTTTATTATTTGAATAGTGGAAGCATGTTGCTTGTTGGTGCTATTGGGAGTCACCTGACCAGCCTCGTAAACATGGCGCTACATGTGGCCGACATGCCCATACACCCCATCGACACCTCCAAGAACAATAGTTTCTTTGATGGTCTACGATCAGCTGTTAGACTCTCTGGTACAGAGGGCAAGATGCTCACCCTACGGTTTACTGTAAGCAAGTTGCATAATTATAATTTTCAGCTTGTTATTGTGTTTATCATAGTGCTATTTGAGGATGATGTGACTGCTAACATTGATGTTCTTATTGTTAACCTCACTGGTGTTACTATTACCCTCAATGGTGTTAATATCAGTGATGTTACTGTTAACACCAATGTTAATCTCTATGGTTTTATTGTTAGCTTCAGTAAAATTCAATAAATTTACTGTTGCATCCATCAATGTTTTTTCTTTTAATCTCAATAATCTTAATATGAATTTCATAGTATTACTGTTAATTTTGGTAGTCTCATTTTAAACTTAATTGTATTTATTATTGTAACTTCAGTAAACTTTCTGCTAACCTCTGTGGTCTTACTGTTTACCTACAGGGTCAAGACCTTAGAGAAAATGTCTACCTTGATGCTATCAACAGTCTTCTGGTATGTGGAGAGTACCCACCACTCTTCTCCAATGATGAACTGGATGGTCTTCTTCTGGTATGTATCAGTCAACCACTTCATCATTTTAAAACTTTAAAATACATTTAATGTAAAGATTGATTTATTTTGTAAAGTCCTTATAGATTTGTAATGTGTAATTAATTCATACTACAATAAAGATCAAACAAACGTTTTGTCTGTGGACAATGCTCTTCATCTTACATTGCCTGTTGAATGTGACAAAAATCCATTTTATACCATATTTTACACTCATTTTAAATACAAAGTTTTTGAGTTTTTTTGATAGTGTGATATTTTTAATTAATTTTGTATCTTGTTTGATTCCTCATTGCTCTGATATCTAAAGCTGTAATGAAAGCATTAAATTATTTGGCTAATTTGTTTATTCTCTAATTATTCATTTGATATTCAAATTTAACTCAAGTTTTTTAATGTTATATATCTGTATGTCATATTAATGGTAACATTGTATGTATCTACTGTATGAAAATGTCAATTTTATTTTGAGTAAGATTTGATTCATTGATTACCTTAATTAATTAATTGATTGATGTGATGTAACATGGTGACATTGCCCTAACATTTAATTTGTGACTAGCGCCTTGAGCCATTGATTGGTCCGGATTCAGCTCCATTCCTGATTTTCTTGTCATATAATGTAACTGTCTTCCATTTGCCTTGTATGTTAAGGTTGAATGACTGTGTTAGTATCTAAAGGGTCATCTCAGACATCATGACTGTGTTTCTTGGTTCTAATATTTGTTTTTCCTTTGTTTATGACAGCAAATAAACCAAATCAAAGTTGACACTGTTGGTCCTGTGTCCACCAAATCTCTTTGCTGATTAATTGTCTTTGTATATGAATAACTAACTATTATACAGCCATACAAAAATGGTAGCCCTATTAAGAGTATTCATTTAGGTATTTGATAAAATTGTGTAAGTAGTTTCTTAGTATTGCTAGCCCTAATGCAATAACATTGAAAATATCGTAGGTTGACGAGGTTATTGACTCTGAAATTGAAGTAAGTTGCTTGCAAATGAAAATCTCCACTTTGAAGTGTGATTGCAAGAAATCCCCATCAATGCTTTCCTACATACACTACACTTAGCAGATTGGGAAGGGTTCTGTGTTAGTGTGTTTGTGCATGGATGTGGATGTATGCATGTGCCTTACATTTATGGGTGTGTCCATGCATTAGTATAATTTCTGCAATATAATTTTGAATTTGTAAATAAGTGCAAAAAACTTCAATTTGCATCCATCATTCAGAAGAAAAGTTATTAAATGTGGCAAAGACCAGCCAAACCAGTCACACAAAGTTTATGATTTTGGGCATTTGTTAGCCAGAAACTATCACCAAATCATTGAAAATGGGGAAAATAACAGCATAGCATGGTGTATAGATATATAAAGTTAGTTTAGTGCAATAAAATATATTTCCAAAATTTAGACATTCCTGCATGTTTGGCCATTATCTCCAAAACAGGATTTGCGACGAGTGACTGGTTTGGCTTTGTCTTTGCCACTAATTCACAAAAGTGTTAACCTTTTCATTAAATTTAATTGAATACAGCATGCCTTCTTTATTGCCTTTTGTAGGTTATTTTTAGCTCCTTTTCGCATGCCTTAGTGTTTCCTTAAAACTGGTTTCCATAAAATCACTACAACAAAGGACCTTTCCTCTAAGCCCCTCCACTTGGATATTGTTGCTAGGCTAGGTAATAACATACACAGACATGCATTTGTGGGACAACATGTGTGTTTATGAGACGTGCGCATTCCGATCCTTTGTGATTGGTCAGTTGTTAAGTTTGATTGACACTCCGGAATGTCCCATTCCATTGCAATTGCTACACTGCATCGTCTTCAACAAAATCGAAAGACTCCCTAATAAAATATTGTGTGCCTCAAAAATTGCCATTGAGCATCCACTGTAGTTTTAAGAGATGGCATGTAGCAATTTTATGGAAATCAGTCTTTGTGCATCTACATAATATTAGCTAATATTTTTACACCTTAGATGCAGGATTTGTAAATATATATGCACCTATGAAATATATAATTGTTTATTGCAGATGGTTTCATGAGCAAAGTATCATTGGAATCAAAATCATGAGCATAAGACTCATTTAGATAAGAAAGTATAATACATACTCCAAGTATTGATATAAACGCCATCGTGTTGGGATTCAATATTTCGACATTAATTATGTCATCATCAGGATGATTCCTGATGATGACATAATTAATGTCGAAATATTGAATCCCAACACGATGGCGTGTATTTCAATACTTGGAGTATGTATTATACTTTCTTATCTGAGATTAATCAGTGGACCTTTCAGGCTCATTTAGTGTCTCATTATTCCAAAGGTCCAAAAGCTGGAAGAAGCCATTTTCGGGAAATCTGTTTAAACGATCTTCCTTTGCACATTTTGTTTTTTTTTTTGCTACTTATTGTGATACCCATGCCCTTTCCGTGAGACAAATGATAATAAAGGGGTAATGCAGTAAAAACAGGCATATTTAATGAATTTGCAGGAGGTGGGATATTTTCTGGGAGATTCTTGTCTGGTTGTGGATGTGCGGGAGACCGTCCCCTTTTCTGGGAGACTACCGCGACATGTAAAGACTTGGGACCCCTGGTTATTCTGTTGACTGGTTCAGCAACACCTGTGTCGTAACATTTTTAGAATGATGTGTGATTGTGTTTTACATGCTAATTTCACTGTCATGTTTTGTTCACAGTATTATGAAAAGAATCAAGTTGACTTTAGTTCGGTAATGAAAAAACTAAGATCATGTAGCCAGTGTATATTTCTTGCTAGAATTTTTGCATTAATTAAAATATATACTGTACTGTAGATATCTTTTTTAAAAACAATATTTATGCATCTACATACAAATTGTCCCTGTTGGAGTCACTGTAGTGGTTTTATTAATCATTTTTTTATTATTAAAAGAGCATGGTTTTACATTGAAAGTTGAGTTATGTACCAATTAATAATTGTGCCATTAACAAATTAGTGGTTACACTATTTTAAAATTGTATTGACAATTACATTTATATTGGTCACTTTTAAAAGAAAGTACTTCTACCTTGAACATTTCACAGTTGAAAGAAATAAGAATGTGATTGATAATGCCAATGATGTGACAAATAGTTGACAATTTCATAGATCATGTTCATAACATATGTCAGTCATAATATTTGTTTCTATCATATCCAGCTACACTGTCACTAACATAGAGACTTGTTTCACACAGCTGTCAAATGTCACTCATGTAACATGATGTGTTATAATAGTCAGCTGCCATGATGATTCAATGTCACTCATCTGTGTTGGTGACATCATGAAATTTGTCATACTGTATACCATAATAGACAGCTATCATGATGTAATAATGTCACTCTTTTACCTTAATGGTATCATGACATTTTCAGTCAAAGTAAACAAACATATCATGTTCTAAACATATTTTATTAGCTTCAACTACTAACACTGTACTATGTAGTCTAATGCAGGGTTTGCTAGAAGAATTCACTTGGGGCAAGATATATCAAATTAACAGCCCCCAATTTTAATGGCCTTGTTAAGTGCCAAAACTGGTTGAATGCCAGACCACTATATCCCTCTTGTCAGCCCTGGTGTTGGGTACCTGATTACAGTGCATGTGGGTTTTTTTTTATTATTATTATTGGCACACATCATATATACTACTGTAGGTTTTATGAAGTAGGCTGGCTGAGGCATGGCAACCATTTATTATCTGGAAAAGGGGGTACAAGGGGCACACCAGGCTACTATACTGCTTTTTATGATTTAATCATTACTGAAAATTAGTTTATTTATAAAAAATACTTTTTAAAGTATATTTGAACACTTGAGGTAAGGGGGCTCTCATTTGGTGGTAGAAGGTACATATAACCTTGTTGGGTGGTTTCATTCCTGTCACCTTTTGGTTGGCAGAGCTGAGGCTGTGTTTTTATAGCTTGTCAAGTCATAAAATTGGTAAGCACAGGAGTACAGCAATAATCATATATGGGAAATGGTGAGAATGGTTTTCTAATATTCACAATTCTGAGTATGCAATATACTATATGGAAATTTTAAACATTCAGTCAGGTAAACTTAAATTCTGTGTTCATGTTCTTATGAATTCCTTTTTTTAGCTTCTCCTTTTTATATAGACAACTCTTGTATCTGCATATATTATTTTGGTTTTATTGTTTTTTTAAAATATGTAATTGGTGTAATGGGATGCTTTTGAGTTTGTATACTGATCAAGATAAAACATTGTTTCAAAAAACTGAATACATTTACTTTTACACCTTTGTTATTGTTGTATTTGTATTTCAAGTAAAATTTACTATTTTTGTAATACATTAATTACAGGCTTTAGGTCCTGCGATGAAGCGCAACTTTCCACGTATGGTCATCGACCCCATGAAGTTCTTTGTGTCAAGGGTCAAATGTAATTTGCATATTATTCTATGCCTGCCACCAACACACAAGCTTCTGAGAATAGCATCAAGGTACTGTAGAGATAGATGTAACTAGCTGGGTCAGTTATTAAAAAGCATATTGGGTCTTGAATTAACTAAAAGCATATGATCCAGGTCAGGTATTAATAGCATTCAGGTTGGGTAACAGCATGTAATGTGTTTATTGTATACAAAATCATAATAGTAGCTTCAAAGTTGGGGAGTGATAGGAAGAACTATGTCAGTCATTGATAGCATACTGTATAGAGTCATCTACATACACATAATAATCAGTCTGTATTTAATATTCATTATACTGTATATAACAGTAGATGTGATTAAAAATAGAATTTTAGGGTGTTTTGATAATTATTTTAATGTAATTTCTTTTCTATTTTAGTCAATATCCTGGTTTATTAAAGGGTATGCAGGTGAATTGGATGTGTGACTGGCTCTCTGATGCACTGACGGGTGAAGCAAGTTATTATGTCCAAAAGCATTCACTCTGCAAAGATAGCTCCCCAGATATGAGGTACTGTGCAACAAAATCCATTTGAATCCATTTTATTTTTATTCAATTCTGTAGATTTGTTGTCCTTTTAAAACTTTTTATGGGCTGCCCTGTTAGGTGTGCATGATGTTTAACAATCTGTAAACCATCTATATTGTAAAAATTATGAGAAAGATTTTAACCATGTTAATTGAGGTCATTTTATTATCCTTCAACCACAGGACAGTTATTGTGTCATGCATGGCAAAGATCCATAGTCATGTATTGCATGACTGCAACCAGATTCCATGGGCAGGTGAGACCAATGACAAGATAACCCTGACACAAGTAAAGATCCAAGGAAAGAAAGAAACCATCAAAGTCACAAATCTTGAGGTTGATAATCTGCCATACACCAAGAGCATTATGAGACAGAAGATAGAGGTAAAAGTGCCAGGTTTTAGATTTCACATTGACTTGTTCAATTCCGCAAAATGTTTTTTTTTTTTAAATATAATTTCCTGAAGAGTATTTCTAATTTTTAGTATTTGTCAGTTATTTCATTATTCATTTATAGCATCTGTTATCGTGGCTTGTTTGTTTTTTGATAAGTTCTGAATCAGTTGTCAATTTGTAATGGTACCCTCTCCAATGCCAAAGTTAATGACACTGACACAATTTTTCCAGTACTAATATTCAATGACATATTTATTTTCTTTCCAGCTAAGGCATAGAAAGCTGGATGAGCCTGGTAAACATGAGTTGTTTGTTGGTCCACGTACATTTCGTCGTTTCATGGACTGTTTCAAATACCTGTACACAACCAAAAGCAAAGAAAATACAACTAAAGTCAACCAACTTAAGTGAGTCTTCATAACTTTATATATTTTGTTGTTCTCATTCAATAGTGCCTAACTTACCATTAAATGAAAATGATTCACTCTGATACAATGTCATAGCACCACCAAACATACAGCAACAATGAATTTTGATGTTTTTAAATCTTGACAACTAATACTCAATAACACTTAATTATTGCTTGGTTTAGATTGTGTTTCCATACTCGATTGGTAAAGCAGAGATTGTTTTTAATATTCTCTCTACAAACACCATTACTCATTATTTTACAATTTTCCTGCACGTAGGAAAGCTCTTGCCTGCCTTTCCAAGACCAGGGAAGATGCTCGTGCTAAGAAAGCTGAGATAGTCAGACTTCAGAAATTATTTGAAGAGGCTAGTGAGAAGACTGCAACCCTACTTAAGCAGCTTAGCAGCAAAGCCACTGTCCTCGAGAAAACCAAAGCCTTGTACCAGCAGTCCCATGGAAGTCTGAATGCATTCCTGCAGATGGCAGATGTGGAGAGTGATGAGGAAGAACAGGATGATCTCTTAATGGCTGGTTAGTGCTTTATAAATTTTTTGGTGTCTCCTCGTATCCTTTACATAGTGACATGAACATATGGAAATATCTTGCAAAACTGACTTTAATGATCTACAACTGTTCTCTATCAGATGATAAAGATGAATACGACAAAGAATTTGATCGTCTGCGAGAGCAGAATCTGAAATGTCGTCAAGTTGCAATTGAAGAAGAACTAATCCAAGCGGCCAAAAGGGTAGAAGAATGTCGAACAAGTTTACAAAAGGCTTGTGAGCAGGTGATACTCATTTTCTTGTCCTTTTTGTGCTGATTCTGTTTAATTATTATTATTGAGGTCTTTTACTACTACACATAGCAACTGTTGAAAAGTCCAAACATAAATTGTATGTTACTCTTATTTTACTAGGTTATTCATTGGAAAGATAAAGTGGATAGAGCTTGTATTGAAAGACTTCGATCCTTCCAAAATCCAACTCCAATTGTCCTTCAAGTTCTGGAGATGATCATGGCACTGCTCGGAAAATCAAAGCCAGTACAACCAGAAAGATCAGAAAAATTGAATTTTTCAAGTGAGGATGCATCGATTATATCTGGAAGAACAAGCTCAACTGGGACTAAAAGCCCTACCAAAAACTGGAAAGGGTCAAGTATGTATCCATTGTATAAAACATTAAGGCTACGTTCAGACTTGGAGAGAAGCCAGGCTTGAGTTAAGCCCAGCTTAACTTTGGCAGGCATTCAGACTAGCGGGATTAGCCAGGCGCGAGAATTTTCATAATAATGAACCTTAACCAGCAAACGTGTTTCAAAATATTGCTCGCGAAACATACCTCGCTCACAGCGTAAGTAATTGAATGCTGATTGGTCATTTTGTTACCTGAAGTCAATGCAAGACCCCCCGCAACGATTAAAGCCCGGCTTTGAAAAGTTAAACACGGTGGCAGGGCTCCCAAGTCTCCCGGAACACCCGGGAGTCTCCCGGATTTTTGATCGATCTCCCGGGCTCCCGGAAACCCAACATTTTCTCCCGGATTTATAATTTCTCCCGGATTCCTCCCGAAATCGTTGTTTTTGTCCAAGCTCGATCAGAACTGCGCCTCTACAGCGATATAAGCAATCGAACCCGACGTTTATGAGTCCGAGATAAAGTTTATCCCGCATGGTTTATTGTACTCACCAAAGCAACACAAAATTACAATGGCCAGTTCGCATCGTGGCGAATCTCTTTGTTTTAATAATAAACAGGATTATAAGATGATTCATTGACGCCCAAATACCGGGATGGTGTCCGGCAGGGTGTAGTTTTTACCCTTAAATTAATGTTTTTGCTGTAATGATTAAATATCATTAAGTGATGCAGCATAATAAATGTGTACTGTTTATTTATTGTAGTATTTTCAATAAGTTTCTGTTTATAAAGTGTGTTGACGGTGATGATGTAACTGCAGTACATGCGCCGCAGCGCGTCGCGGCGCGCGACAATCCTTGGAATGACCATCACGACAAAATCTCCAGGAATTTCACTTCCACAACTTGGGACCCCTGCGGTGGCATGCCAGGCCTAGTTACTATAGGAACACAGCCCGGCTTGAGATAAGCCACCTATTTCAGACTGGCAGGTGGATAAACCCGGTGAGTTGAGCCGGGTTTATCCACCTAGTCTGAACTAGGCCATATAGAATTTACAAAAACCATGTCTAATATATGTGAATATTGACCAGCATAAACCAAATAATATCTAATTTTCCTTTCGAATGAATACCACAAAATCCGCAATATCCAAAATCTACAATAGTTTTTTGTGACAAATATATGGGATTTGCACATTATATAGTCAGGATGATGTCATGTCATACTCATATATGGGAAAGTCATAGTTGTTGTCACATTAAATTTGATAATGTGCTTAAAGTTTGAGACAGAGACATGAAAGTGTATGCATGGGTTTACATGCTGTTAGATAGTAATTTGAAGCCTTGGTGTTGAAAAAGTAAATTTGTGTTACAATTTGAATTTTCTTTCACTAGAATCAAAAGACAACGCTTCAGAGAAACATAAGTGGAAGCAGCTACAGGTGATAATGAATGATTCCAACAAGTTTGTTGAGTTGCTTCACAATATTAGCTGGGAGAATGGCCTGGATAAGAACATCCTCATGAATGTTGAGTACTTCCTACCAAAGACCAAAGAAGGGGAAGGTGTTACTGGTGAAGGCTCCTTACTTGATGTACCAGGTAATCTATCAGTCAATCAAATTGAAGGTTTATAAAGTACCAAGGTACTCAGTAATGTACTAAATAGCTCATGTATGTTATTAATCATTTTTTTTTCTTGTTAGGTAAGTATCTTTACAATTTTCACTTGCAAATAAAATGTTTTTCAAAACTGATGCTATAACAGGGGCTGATCTAGAGATGTCCGGAGGTGGGGATGGGGGCGAAGGAGGGGCGATCGAGAGACAACGCTACCCTAGGGAATGTTTTGTGCGATCAATAATTTCTTTTCTTTCTTTGTTTTTTTTGGGTTTTTTTTTGGTTTTTTTGTTTTTTCCCAAAGGGGGTGGACTGGGCCAGCTGTTAGCCCCCCACAAATCTGCCCCTGTATACTTACCTGGATGAAAAGACTTGTTCCTATTAGAACTTTCTTTTAAAATCATATAACTGTCGGGCTAAGTTTCACTATATTTTAATGCTAAAGTATGTATTTTGTATCGTTGCTGTGATAGCAATAATGCCTAATATGTTCTGATTTGTGTAATTTACTGTAAATAGGAGGGCCTAAGCTACCACCATCATCACGTAAATCACCATCTGCAGTTGAAGGCATCACAATTGCTGCCACCCGCTACAGCTCAGAGGATGCTGGAACGCTAGTGGCCTACACTTGTGGTATAGTGGAGTATTCCCACTTGTGTGGACCTCTGCAACAGGCTCTGGACAGACTGCAGGAACTTCAGAAAGAGAAAATTGAAAATGAAAAACTCCAAATTGAGAAGGAAGAAAGAGTAAGTGAAGATAATTTGTTTCATAAATACTTACCTGGACAAACCAACTAGTGCCAAGTTTGCGTTCGCAGATCTTACCTTAAAAAATAATAGAATTGTTACATGGTATATAATCATCCTCATTATCCGTAAGCTGTTAGACCATGAAGAACCTTTCCTATACAATACCTGAGTGTTGCTATTCAATCAAAGATACACGTAGAATATAATACAATTGAAAAAAATGATCACATGAACATTTTATTTGGTTACAATTTTAGTCATTTTTTTTGTAGATTATGATAATAAATTTCTTCATATGTTCTAACACATTCATTCTTCAGCTCTTCTGGTTCTCTAGAATTATGAAAAAGATAGCGGTAAGCAAAGCATGCTGGTAGCCAGACTTATGACATGCTAGTGGTAGATAGAAAAATCAATTTGAAGGAGAGGTTTTGGGGCAGATGGCATTGTTAAGAGGGGAAGGCATGCTAGGAGTGGCTGTAAGGAGGGGTGAGGCCTGTTATGAGTGACTGTATAAAAGGGGGAAGGCATGTCAGGAGTGGCTGTAAGAAAGGGAAGGCTTGTAAAGGTTGACTGTAGGGAGGAGAAGGCTTGTCTGAGGTGGCTGTATGGAGGGGAAGGCTTGTCAAGGAGATGACAATACAGAGGGATTGGCTGCCAATTTGTGAGGCTGGGAGTAAGATGAGTTGGTATAATGGGAAATGAGAGGTTAATATGAATATTAGTCTTTAGTATTCTGTCATGCATTTCTGCTAGTGATAAAGCCTTTGCTGGTTTTAATGTATTTTTATGTATTTGCGAATGCTGAATTATTCTGTATAATTGTATATGCGGCTTTTTGTTGTAATTTGTCTATATCATGTAATAACAGTGTTACCCTTCCTAGCCGATGTATCTGTTTTTGGTTAATCTGTGGTCTTGTTTTAACAAATAATGATGTCTAGTAGATTAGCATGTAGACAAAAAGAGAGGCAAATGTGAAGGGAATTGGAAAATGTAACTGTTAGAAGAGAATTGTATTAAAATGTTAGTGTTTTAGAAGTCATTTTATATTCATTTGTATGTTTAAGAATCAGCATGTTCTAGATATGTTTACAATATAATCTAAATTAGTGTAATTTAATAGTACATCACTTTATCAATTTTTAAAACCTTTTAACATCAAAAGTAATCAATACATCTTTTTTTTAAATTTAACAAAGTGCTTTACATAAATAGAGTTAGACTAGTCCACAAACTGAATAAAACTGTAGTTTGATGGTTAGTGCTAATTTTCCTGTTCTAATGTCCTGAGTTAAAATTTGTCTGAAAGCAGGATTTTTTTCTCATAAGTTAACAACTTCACTTGCCAGGCCCCACAGTGTGTTATCTAAGGAATATTTGAACAAAACACAACTCTTAAGTAGTTTAAATTACTGTACTTCCACAGCTAGTTTCCTTTTCCATTAGTCTGCTTAAACCCTTTCGATGTGATACACCTAGATACACCAACTGCAAATGACCAAGGAGTCCCAATACATAGCTTTGCTGATGAATCCCTTTTGATAGATGTGGTATACTCTAAAAAGAAATTATAAACTTATAACTTGCACAGTTTGAAAAAAAAAAGAGATGCAAGAATAATGATGTGTACTTTCAGGAAGCAAGAGAGGCAGAGGAACAGACAAGTGCAGCATCAGTAGAACCAGAGAAAGAATACACAGAAGCAGATATTCCCAGCATCCAAGATGAACTGGATGTGCTGCAAAAGGAATTTGATGATGCCGTCAGAGAGAAGCATTCATTGGAAATTGAACTGGTTGCCAGTAATGAGAGGTTGAGGGCAGCAGTTGATATGATTCACAGGTAAATTTCTTAATTCAGTCTTTCACAGCTCCTTAATAGTCAGCCCTAATCAGCCAAAAGTTGGCTTAACCCATCATGATCTGGCTTGACCAAATATCGTGAGTAAAAACTAAGGTAATTACTTCAAATTCACGGTATAGTTTGTGTTTAGCTCGATATGGGCCAGCACATGTCTCCTGATATATGCTCAGTCATTTCACTCTGATTCGAAAACTTTAGTTTTTTCAAGTAGTTATCTTGAGTAATGTAGAAACACAGATTTAAAACAATATAATCCAGATGATTATTCTGTTTTGTATTCATGTACTCAATCAGCTTGAGAGAAGCAGAAAAGGGTTGGAAGGATTACGTTGATGAGAACTCAGTGAATCAGTTGTTGCTAAGCACTTGTCTGTCGGCATCTGCGTTTCTAACATACTGTGGCGGGATGCAAATTGACTTGCGTAAACGATTAGCATCGTTCTTTATGGATGTTTGCACCAGACACAATCTACCTGTACCAAGGAGGAAGCTGTTCAAACATGTTCAAATTATTGAATTCCTGTTTTCAAAGGTAAGCCTTAATAAATACTATTATTAAGCTCTTTCCACACTATTAAGAAATTAGTAGAGTTCTGCATAGTACACTATAGGAAAATTATTATATGAAGGTTAGATTTCTGGTTCTAATTAACCTTGTTTTACAAAAGTAATTTTTAATTACAATTCAATTTTCATCGCAGTGCGTGTTATCTTCGCGGTGACGAAAAAAAATGAGGATTTTTTTTTTTGCACACGAACCTAAAAAAAATCAAGCCAAGCGTCCACTAATTGAAAAATTAATGGACTGTGGGGGATAGGCAAATTACATAGGGAGTTCCAGTGATGATATCACAATTGACTTATAATACATTATAGGGGATGTGATTTGCCCATAGGCCTATATGGGTGTGATATGACATCATCATGCTCATATATGAATGTGGTATTACATCATTAGGCGACTCACTATATATGTTTTCAAACGTAAAATCATAAAATACTAATATTTGGCTATGTCCATACCTAAGAGATACGCCAGGCGTATCTAATGCCAGCCGTATATTAATCCGTGGCGTAACTAGCGGGATGTCCAGAATAGGCGATTAACGAGCGCTAGCGTAAGTATTTGCGCGAAATATTTGTATTCGTAATTAGCGCATTTCATTTTCTGTTTACATCTAGGTTTATTTTGATTGGTTGAGTTCAAAATCACTGATGCGTGAATGTCGTAACTCAGTGGCGTACGCTGATCTGGGATCTGTTGCTGGATTATCCTACGCCAGTGATTGCGCGATAATACTGGTGTTCACTATGCCGCGCACAAATTCACACCATTTGATTTACATTACCCTAGCGTACTGTAAGTCGTACCTGATCATAGCCTTAATCCCATATTATGAATGTGATATGACATCATCATGCCCTTATATGGATGTGATATGACATCATCATGCCCATATATGGATGTGATATGACATCATGCCCATATTATGGATGTGATATAACATCATCATGCCCATATATGAATATGATAGGACATCATCATTCCCATATATGAATGTGATATGACATCATCATGCCCATATTATGGATGTGATATGACATGCCCATATATGGATATGATAGGACATCATCATGCCCATATATGGATATGATAGGACATCATCATGTCCATATTATGGATGTGATATGACATCATCATACCCATATTATGGATGTGATATGACATCATGCCCATATATGGATATGATAGGACATCATCATGCCCATATTATGGATGTGATATGACATCATCATGCCCATATTATGGATGTGATATGACATCATCATGCCCATGTTATGGATGTGATATGACATCATCATGTCCATATTATGGATGTGATATGACATCATCATGCCCATATTATGGATGTGATATGACATCATCATGCCCATATTATGGATGTGATATGACATTATCATGCCCATATTATGGATGTGATAGGACATCATCATGCCCACATATTATCGATGATGTTCAATTGGTTTATACAGTACAATGTACAATCACTTTTCTAGCTTTTCTGATGCCAAGAATTTATTTGAATCTAAATTTTGAAAAGCACAATTTCCAGTTGATTTTTATTGATCAGGTAATTGAATACTTTTTAGGTGAAAATTGAATCGTTCCGACTACTCAACCTGCCAATGACTCCGGTATCATGTGACAATGCTTGCTTCATCATGCAAGAATTAAGTTCAACTGCCTGGCCATTGCTATGCGACCCAACGAGCCGAGTGTTGGAATGGCTTAAGGCCTTTAAAGCCGATAAACTCACAAAGGTTAAATATCATGTAAGTTCAAATATCTTTCTATTTAGCTATATCTGATCTTTTTATATATTTTTATTTTGTATAATTAAGTATATATTTTATACTTTACATAAATCTTATAATTTGTAGCTATATAAACAGTTCATTTTATGTATAATGTCATTTATACTTTTTACTTTATAATTAAATTTTATAATAGTAAGTTTTTATGTTAGATTTTTCTATTGCTATTAATTTGATCATTAAAATTAAAAACTACTGCCTTTGATCACCTACTCAACTTTTCAATTAAAATTCCTGGGAAGTGACTACAACCCAGTATGTTTAGATTTGTTGTTTTTTGCATTTTCTTTCCATTTCAAATGTTCAGTATCCTCACTTTCTCCAGGAATTGAGGTCGCAATTGGAGACATGTCTGACAGAGGGGTCATCTCTGGTGATCACAGACTGTGATGTAGTAGCTCTGACGGATGACTATCGCTTCTATCAAGTCTTGCGCAAGAGAATGGTGTTCATGACAAGCAAACTGCCATTTAAAATGATGGTAATCATTTATTAAACCATAACTTTAGTAGCCCTATATTTTTACTTATCTCTTTTGTGAATACATACCTGGATAAACCAGTTATTGCTAATGTTCCTAAATTAACTCCTTTATACAGTAACTCTGATTGCTGTGAGCCAAATTCAGTCAATAATTAATTTCCACTATTGGTTTAATATTATCACATGTGGTTTTATATGCATTTGGATTGGTCTATTATTACTTTATCAGGTGGCAGACCATGAGGTGGAATGTAATCCTAGTTTCCGTTTGTACCTTCACACAACCAACCAGCCCCACACCATTCCGCACAGCCTTGCAGCCTATACCAGTGTGCAGTATTTCTACCAGACTGCGGAGGACTGTGAGGAAGAGTTGCTGGATAGGTTCATGCAGCTGGAGAAAGCTAGACTTGAGGAAGACAGAATAACTTATGCAAAGGTAATAGCGACAATAATCATATTCAGCCATTACCCAAAATGTAGTCTTCATTAACTTTTATCCATTGTTATTACAGTGTCATCGTCCCATGCTGTTTTTATTTTCATTACCAACGATCTTATTATTCATCATTACTCTTTGCAATCTTTTTTACTTATATCAATGGTTTCCTGATGAGCATTTCTTTACCTGTAAAGTAATTTTCCATTTACATACTAGCATCTTTATTGCCAAGAATGTAATTTGGTGCAATGCAAAAATACCATGTCATTGCAATAATTCTATCTTGATCATCGTCTGTTCCATCTTTTTATACCTATTATGATACTATCTGTATTATTATTGAAACAATTTCATCCATCAGGAAAAGATTGCAAATATGCAGCAGCTTGAAGACTTAGAGAAGCAGATGCTGGAGTGTTTGGCAGGTGACAAGCGATTGTTGAATGATTTACAAACTACAAAGAAACTTGCTGAGATGAAAAAACATTATAATGAGACTTTAGAAAGGTGAGTGGAAAGTATACATTTTTCAATTTTTATCTTGAATTTTAAAGGTATATTTTCCTTAGTTACAATATCATCTTTTAATTATATTTTGTGTACGTAGTACTGATGAGAGTCAATCAATAAATTTTACAGTATCATAATAATAATTCATAATTATATTCTGTATCATTATTGTTTAATTATCATCACCATTTATAGTTATTATTATATTACTTATATTGTTAACCTTATAGTATGGTGTGTGTTGAACTGCTAGTTAATATTAATATTGGTTGTTTACTCACTATGTTACCATGTAGTTTCTCCTTAAAACTGAACTGTTTTAATAGATTAATAGTTGTTTAGTGAGCTGTGAGACACCAGTAAATGATGCTTCATGAGTGCTGTTATTATTACTTTTAGTCAAGAAAGAGTGTTAACATCTGAACGAGCGATTCGCAATGCAAAGGAGAGCTACCGATCCATAGCAAAGAGAGGTGCTGTGTGCTTCAATGTTGCTAGAGGGCTTACAGAAATTAACCCAATATACCAATCATCCTGGCAACAATTTCTGGAGGTTTATGACGCTTCAATTAAGCACTCAGAAAGGTAAGTTATTTCTTATTGTCTTTATCTTGTCGAATGGGTGCGCTTAGAAATTAGTTTATGTACTCTCACAACCAATCACAGGATTGAAAGCTTGAGGATGTTTTATTACCAAACATAAAGAGCATCGATTATTAACAATAAATTAATGATATATTAATACTTGCAGTACACCATGGAGATATCTATGCGGTGTACCGCAAGCATTAATATATTATTACTTCGCCATGCAAACTTCAAACAATAATCATTTTTAATCATGAGGAAGACTGTTATAATGTGAATTCTTTTGAATTATATAATAGAACTGCTGTGAAAGCTGTTGTAGAAAGGCTGACATTCTCTGCATGTATGACCGTGTCTAGGTCACTATTGGAAAGGGATCGTATCATACACTCAGTACTCTTGTCCATGGAGGTGTGTAATTTTTTTTATTATTTTTGTTTATTTGAATTCCTTTCATTTATCAAGTCCAAATTTTACATACATATAGAGGAAAAAAGCAAAAAGGCCATTTCTTGCTCTTAAAAAATCTCCAGATTGTTGTCATTACCTTTATATAACCTTTCTTCAATTCAAGGTGGAGGATTCCGTTGGTAATATTGGACCAGGTGAGCGTGAGTTCATTGTCTCTCCTCAGCTTGGGGCCGCTGTGATGTCATCAATTGGAAAAGTAGCTCCTCCTGACCATAAGGTTACCCAAGCCAAGAAGCCATTCGACTGGATGTCTGATGATCAGTTCCAAAACCTGCAGGTACACATTCTTATTATTAATGATTCTTATCCAATCACAACTCACCACTAAGGTGGATGCAAGATTCGTAGGTAGGGGGTGCATGAGTGGACACACCACCTCAGGCCGACCATGGTTGGGGCTGAGGTTCAAACATTCTGAGAAAATGTCAACAATACAATACAACAATTATTTTTTTTTATACAATTTAAAATGGTGCGATCACACCGTCCACACCCATCCTGCATCCGCATCAGTTACAGGATTGAAAATATACTTTCTGGTGCTTTCCTTATACCATAGGTAATTTGAAATAATCTTATTTTTGCAGCTGATGGCCATGCATTTTGACTGGTTCCAAGAGATGTTTGACCGCATGTCCAAAGATGGCCGTGAAACACAGTGGCGTACACTCGGTGAGCATGAAACACCAGAGAACTATCCTCTGCCTGAGAGGATGGACGACGTCTACAATCCCATGCAGAGGTTTATGATACTACGTGCCTTTAGACCTGACCGCATCATGCAAGCATCAACTGTCTTTGTTAGTTCTGTTCTTGGAAAGAAGTAAGAACACTTTATTATTATTTTTATTTCTATTGTTTTTATTGTTATTATCTTGTTATTCAATAAATATTCTTATTTTCATTAACAGACTAAAGAAGCACCTCTTCTATGTTGCATATTCAGAGCAACAATCAGTATAATCTAGTATTTTGGATAATATGCTACATAAATTATTGTATCTCAATTTATCTTGTTCCTGTGTCTAGATACGTGACTGAGTCATTGTTAGATTTAGCAAGCGTTCTGCGGCAAAGCTCGCCCACAACACCTATACTGCTAATGTACACGTGCGAGGCCCAGCTAGCTACTAAACTCTTCACTGAATTTGCCAACAAGAAACAAATGAAGACCACAGCCATTTTCCTGACTGGTGCATCACAAAATGAGGACAGACAAGTTAGAAAGGTGGTGATCACTGCCATGCAAGAGGTCAGTAATCATACTTCAGTTCAAAAGTTAGTTTATAGGTCTAATGTGTTTTTAACACGGGATAATTTTTTTAATAATAATTTTCAGTTCTTTTTATTTTAAGTAATGTGTAAATGATTATGCTTATGTTCTCACACAGTAGCTAACGGTTAACAGGATCCGGATCCTGCTAACCGTTAGCTGCGTCCATATGAAAAAATTCCAATCCGGATACCAAGAATATGATGATCGAATCACTGGCCAATAAGAAACTGGGAATTGTAATCGCGTACGTGTGATTGGTTGATGATAGAAACACACTCAACTTGCTAACCGATAGCGCTTGCCTAGCACTAACCGATCGAGCGTTCTCACACAGGTGCTAACAGTTAGCTTTAACGGTTAGCTCCCGATCTGGATACTAGGGCTCTTTTGAGAACCAGGCTAAAGAAATACTTACTCATATACTGGTCTGTTTGAAGACTTACACTTGTTACATCACTCTTTTCAGGGAAGTTGGGTGCTTCTCCAGAATGGTCAGAATGCTTCCAACCTTCTCAAAGGCTTGGAGAGTATTTTGAAAGAACATGACAACTCACAGGGCGAGGGCTCTTTCCGCCTGTGGATCTCTGCCGAAATGAAAGAGACAATACCTGTACGATTGCTGCAGTATTCCTTCAGAGTTGTAGTAGATTCCCCTCAGGTAATTTCAATCTCATTAATATCTTTGTTGATATCTGTTTGTTTTGATTGTGTTGTTGGGAAGGCCTTTGCTATTAGCAAGCACTATTTGGTCTCTCCTGGGCTGTGGCAGTTGGTCTTTTCTTTTTCTTTTTCAACGTTTGTTTTTAATGTAACGTTTTGAAATGTTGTACTTGTATGCCCAAATTATTATAAAATAAAAAATTATAAGTTTTGTTTTTTTATTGTGTTGATATATTGTTTAACAGATCAACCTTTTTATTATTTCATAAATAATCGTAATTCCTAAAGAAAGTATTTTATAGTTATTTGTGTTAAATCCCTAATTCATGTAGGTAATGCGAGAAAACCTAATACGAGGCATTTCATTGGTTGATACGGATATGCTGAAGACAAGTTCACGATCTGAATGGCCACCGTTGCTGCACAATCTGATAATGCTTCACGGCACCTTGCGGTTGAGGGCACGCTTTGGCAGATCAGGATGGAACCTACCGCAAGTCATGAACTTCAAGTTTAAAGAAATTGCTGTGAGTATTAAGATGTCAAATAGTAAAATATTATGTAAAATTAATGTGAACGTATAGAGCGAAATAATGTAACTTAAAAATATAAAAGCAGTTGCGTTGTTTTGCCTTAGGACGGCCATGATGTGGCAAGTTTGGTCAGTATATGGAAGATTGTAGTAAAATCGTAAATTTATGGCAGATATGGAAGTTATGGCATAAGAGGGTAAAATAAGTGGTAGCATACTTGGTAACGTTGACCGCACCAGGATTTGTCTGAAAGGGGAATAAGTTCTCCAAAAGGAGTCTGCCAATTTCTGATGAGGACTGTAAGGTCCAGGGAGGGCAAAGCCTAAATGTGGGCCCAAGGGAATAATCCCCTGGCACCTAGAAAATCTGGTCAATTTTTGGATGTTTTTTGTTTTAAATCTTTTAAAACACAGTTTTTGAATTGTGACTTTTGATATTTTCAGGAAGGATTATCAATTGCTAAAGAAGTTTTCAAAGACGTGCCACATCCAGATGGAGATGGGTTGAAGGGCGTGTCGTGGATTGGTTTGCGGTATATGTTGACAGAGATTGTCTATGGAAGCAGCATCCAGGATGAATTTGATCAGACCAACCTGGCAGCAATGGTTGACTACTGGATCGGACCCAATGCAGTTAAGAGGGAGTTTGAGGCTACGAAGCGTAGGTTTTGTGGATATGCTTACAAAGCCAGTGTGCTAATTATTATTGTTAATAAGCAAGAAATTGATTCCTCCCAAAAGAATTTACTGAATATGCATTTTAAATTTATATGTTTTTAAATTTTGTTTTCTCAGTGAAATACAAATTGCCTTCAGCATTCTTCAATAATGTTGTGAGGCCACATGCCCTGATCCAGGCCTGTGAGGCTATACCTAACCACATGTTAGATGTTCCAGAAGCCACCGGAGTACACTCATCTACTGAAGTGAGTATTTGAAAATCTTAAATTATTGGTATTTCTTCTTTTTCCAAGTATCATCATCATCGTCATCCTTAGGACTATATTGTACTATTGTAAACATGAAAATTCTTCAATATCTTTTCCTGTATTTCTTAGTACACACCTTCAACTAAATATAACTCTTTACATAAATTATCATATTTAATTGCTTTCACTTGCTCTGTCATACTTGCTTTCCATAAATGTATTTCCATTGTTCTTTATGCTGCTATATTAGGATGATGGCCGTTTGATGGTAAGAACTCTTCTTAGTCTAATGATGTCATAACAAATTCAATTGTTCTAGCTAATCAGCTTGTAGCTACTGTAAATTGTGTGTTTTAAATTCATTATAACCAATGCTATCTGTGTTTATACAGTACTACCCAATACTTTGTCTATCAGTCTGAAACACATTGATCTCAAATAAACACTATATTTTCATTATCCTTCATTAATACTATTATTATTCTCATACTTAAGTTATTCTGTCCATTCATTTTGTAATTTTTCTGTTTTTATAAGTTAAGAACATTTTGTTTTTAATGTATTATTTCAATTCTAAAAATTGAATTAACAATACTAACAAGTAAATGTGGAATGTTTCATTGACTCACTTTTAAACATTTATTTAACAGTTGTAAAATTCTTGTCAATTGTGTTGTTTTTAACTCGATATCGGTCTTGGCATAATGATTATTTTAAGGAGATCGATTAAATATTTATGTTCAGAAAGTATGTATGGATAATGTGTTGTTTAAAAATAACTATCTAAATGTTTTATATGTGTAAAATTAACTATGGTATATGTTTTAAATGTCCATTAGCTTTAGTATTAAGTGTAAATAACCTTTTGTATGTCTAGACTTAATGTTTTAATGTCAATATAAAACTTGTTAATGTTCGTAGTAATGGCTGTACATAGTTTTTAATTAAATGGTTATGCAACATATTTGTGTAGACTTATCATGGAGATGATCAGTATGTCTTCACCCGACTCAACATGATCCTGGATAACGTGCCGTCAACAAAAACACTTGCGCACATATTTGAGCGACCTTCTACTCCTACCACAGGTAGGTTTTAAATAACTTTTCTTATACTATTTTATTTACTATATTTTAAATTTGCTTGAATACTGCATTTCAGCCAATCAAAGATGAGTGCTTAGGATTTTTATATTGTAATAGATATTTCAGACTTAATGCTTTTTACTCAGTTTGTGGGGATCAGGGAAGCACTCATCCATATTTTTCAACCACCTGTCAACCACTGTTCTTACTGTAAATTACCACATAAACATGTCAAGCTTCCACATACTTGACTTTTCAGAACCTTCAGTATCCAGCGTAACTGGACAAGCTATGACATCATCAGTCCGTGGAATGGGTGTTTACGCAAGTGCCAGTGTAGCTGCCATCAGATCACGTAAAGATGTGGAAATCTGGGAGGTGTGCCACACCGCTTTGCTTAAATTACCTCGAGGCTGGAATAGGGTATGTCTTTATCTCTTACAGGAAGGGATAGCTGACTCTTAACTATGAATATAAAATATTGGCTGTAGCTTGGGAATGCACATACTTTTCATGCTTTTTACAAGGTTGCGTAACCAAAAGGATTGTAACATTTGAGAGAGAAATATTTTTCAATCATTTCATTCTTTTTACAGGATTACATATCTGAAAGGATTCGTAAGATTGGAGGAGACACACCTTTTAATCGTTTCATTCTTCGTGAAGTTGACATGATGATAACTTTATTAGCTGAGATGAGGAGTACATTGCAGGTAAGTTTCATTAAGTTCTAACGTCATTGTTGACCTTTGTTACTAATTCTATTATTGTTTTTAATATAGATAAATACAAATGTTTATCATTCTGATTACTATTAAGTTAATATCATTATTAATTGTTATTCTAATCATAGAAACTGAAGAATCTAACTGAGAACCCAACAGAGATGTTTGGCGATCTGTTCTCTGACAAGTTGATTGATGTAGCAGATGACATGTTCCATCTTCGTCTGCCTCTGATCTGGAGGAACCTTGCTGGAGATTCAGCTCCTCCGGCAACCTGGCAGCTGGGACAATGGTTGACAGATCTTGCTCAACGTTGTCTACATCTAGAAAAGATCATCATACAGGTAGGGGCAGATTGATAACACTGGAGGAAAAGTAACTGTTTTTACTCTTAAAGTAGTGTAGTACTTACAGTACATCAATTACAGCCTATGGTAGGGTCAAACTTCTGTAGATCTAAAGTTGTTTGTCTAGTAATGTGATATATTCTTCAATGTTCTAGTACTGGTCCTTTCGTTGCACTCTGAACTGATTCTCAGCAACCTAGGAGACAAGAATGCATTCCATTGTTGATTTTTATTTATAGGCTTCACCTCAGCACAATGCAGACCTCCAGGGTTTGACAGTGCATCATTATGTATTATCATCTCCATCGTATCTGTGATATGACTGGCAGCTTTTCCTACCACATATACATACTCTAATTGATATTTTGTGAATAATTCTTACCTGGATAAATTCCAAGTTGCTTAGTGGAACCTGGAAACATTATCATTAGGAAATAATGGAATGACCCTATTGCCAATAAACTCCCCAATTTCCTTGTTTCCTTTTTTAACCTAATTGGTATATACTCTCTTTATTTCAACAGGGAAGGGAAAAGTTTCCAGCATTTTGGCTGGGTGCTTTCTTTCAGCCAAAAGGTTTGTTGGCATTGCTGAGACAAGATGCCATGAGAGCTTATGGTCAGAATGGAGCTCAAATGGAACCATTTATCTTTCAAACAGAGATCACAGCCAGAGATAAAGATCACGTAAGTAGACCATCTATCCTAAAAGAATTTGCAAGCAAACCTCTAAAGATTTGCCAACGTTTGCTGATTGTTGGTACAAAGTAGGATGGCTTAAAGATTGTGTAGTAGATTAGGGCTATACATATGTATAGTTAATTTATGTTTAAATAGTTCAATGAACACATTATTCATAATTCCTATTTATTATTTTTGATAATTTTTATCCAACTTTGCCCTGAGATATTTGCAGTGTCATTCTTATAAAAATTATTATAATTAATAACATTATTAATTGTTGTTTTTTGTGATAATTATCAATTAGTATTAAATTACTGTTTTTATTGCTCTTTTATTTGAAGTTTCAGAAATGCGGTAAACATATTAATCCCAATAATTATTAATTTCATTATTATCATGTAATATTTAAATTGATTTATTGATTATTTTGTAGGTGCGTGATCCGCCTCAGGAAGGCATGTTTGTGTATGGCATCTACATTTGGGGTTGTACCTGGGAAAAGACGACTGGCGAACTACAAGACCTTGCTCCTCGTCATGGGCCTACACCTTTGCCAATCATTCACATTATCTGTATTCCAGCTAGTGAAAAACAAATTGTCACAGAGCCAACTCGATATGAAACATTCTCATGTCCTGTCTACCCAACACGTGTTAGCCCTCGTGAGCCAGTGTTTCTGATGGACGTTCGTCATGATAGTATACCACCATCTAGATGGTCACTACGTGGGTTAGCCGCTACAATCCGTCCATTTTAGTTAAGACACAAGAGAGGTAAACATTCC